TTTTTCATGTTTTTATTTCCGCAGAATAAAAGAATAAAAACATGACGTCCCGATTCATCGGATCGTCATGAGGGGGAGAGTGGTCCACATGCTGTTAACACTGAACAAATCATTCTGGGACACTTCACTCCTCCATCACAGAATTCAACACCCTCTCTACTATCTCCGCAACTCAAATCAAATGGTCAGCTACACTCACAAAGCAACCATCATTATGTTCCGCTGTGCCACCGACAAGTTCTCCTCAAATGCATTCATTCCAAATAGTCAAAAAGACTACATTGTGGAGGAGACAGAGGTCAAATACTCGTGTCCTGAAGATGAATTCCATGGACGTCTCCTATTCTCCAAAGAATATTCATTCTAGAGGCGTCACCGGACTTCATCCAAGCTGATCAAGAGCAACTTCTGGAAGGCAAGGACTACATGCAAGATACAGAAGGTCCCTCAACCCCCGGCATCAAAGATCAAATTGTCAAGAAGACATCAAAGGGGAGATTGCAAGGATTTCTTCAGATAGCCTTCCTCAGAAGTCAAGTTCAAAGACAAAGAAAGCTCAAAGACAAAGATATCTGCGCTGCAATGCTGATTCAACACGATTGATCACCAAGGGGGAGATTGTTGGGAATATTTTATGGTGTTCAATCTAGTTAGTTATCTTTGTATTTGTGTAGTTATTAATTAAACGTGTAATACGGGCCACAAATGTGTATCAGCCCGTGGGCTTCCTTGTAACCCGTAAGTTAGCCAACTTCTCCTATAAAAGGAGGCTAACTTACGGGAACCCTACTGATCGATAGAGGCTTAGAGACGCAGAGGCGTAGAGATAGAGAGAGATTAGGTTTGTCGCTGCTCTCCTTCTCCAGGGAGAGCAGCGGACAGTTCATACGGTATATCAGATTCACGTTCAATCTTGTCGATTTCTTTCTATCTGCTTCTTTATCACTGTTATGGTTGTATGATTGTTAGAATTCTGGGACTAAGATTTGGTATCAGAGCCGAGGTGTGAAACAGGTTGGATCTGTCTGCGATTTTTGGATTTAACGAAGAACTGCTCTGATACCAAATGTTAGTCCCAGAATACTAACAATCATACAACCATAACAGTGATAAAGAAGCAGATAGAAAGAAATCGACAAGATTGAACGTGAATCTGATATACCGTATGAACTGTCCGCTGCTCTCCCTGGAGAAGGAGAGCAGCGACAAACCTAATCTCTCTCTATCTCTACGCCTCTGCGTCTCTAAGCCTCTATCGATCAGTAGGGTTCCCGTAAGTTAGCCTCCTTTTATAGGAGAAGTTGGCTAACTTACGGGTTACAAGGAAGCCCACGGGCTGATACACATTTGTGGCCCGTATTACACGTTTAATTAATAACTACACAAATACAAAGATAACTAACTAGATTGAACACCATAAAATATTCCCAACAGTTTAAAATATTTTGTAACTCTTGGTCCCTCACCCCTCCCACAAAAATATTTGATTTTTCGTGGTTAACCCTTAGGTCGGATGCCTCTCCGAACTCTTTGAGAGCGTTGACCAATATTTCTATGGAATACGTGTCACCTCTCGAGAAGAGCATAAGGTCATCCGAGTACGCCAAGTGGGTAACGCCCAATGTAGAGCATTGCGGGTGGAAATTAAAATCCCCCCCCCCCCCCCCCCTTTGGTTCTCATTGTGAGTAACCGGGAGAAATATTCAAGGCATAATACAAATAGTAAAGGGGACATTGGATCACCTTGTCTAATTCCACGTTTGCCTTTGAAAAAACCATACAAGGACCCATTCAAAGAAACCGAGAAGGATGCCGTGGACACGCATTCCATAATCCACGCTATGAATCTATCGGGGAAGCCCAAACCCTTCAAGACTTTTTCTAAAAAATCCCATGAAATTGTGTCATAGGCCTTTCGCAAATCCACCTTAATCATGCATCTTGGTGATATTCGCTTCCTATTGTATCCTCTAACAAGTTCTTGGGCGAGGAAAATGTTATCAAACATTAGACGGCCATCGACGAAGGCTCCTTGGGCTTGATTAACCAGTCCCGAAGACATGGGGTTAATCGAGCCGCAATTATTTTTGTTATAATTTTATATAAAACATTCGTGCATGAAATAGGTCTATAGTCCGACACTTTCGGGGAGTGATTAGTCTTAGGGATAAGTGCTATAACAGTATGATTGATCTGTTTAAGCAACTTACCCATTAGAAAAAGCTCCTTAATCGCTTGGACTATGTCATCCCCAATAAAACTCCAATTGGCCTTAAAGAAAGCCGAGGAAAATGATCCAATAGTAACTGGAGAAGAAACAAAAGTTTTTCAACAAATACTAGTACATTATTTGTTGGCTTGAATGCCCAACACAAGAAAATAGAGAGGGCATGACACTTGCGCAAACCTATCTTATTTACACTGATGTAATCCCACCCTTTCCAGAACAATTTTCACTTTAGGACTCCCATTTCTTGATTTTGATGGTGGATAATTCAAAAACTACATTAAGTTTTTTTTGGGAACAAAGCAGCTTAAATTGATATTAAAGCTTTCAATCACTGACTCTCGAACCAGACTTAGAGTCAATCATCCAGAAAAAAGCAATATGACTCGTTGATCCTATAATGAGTCTAACTGAACCTAACGTGGTTAGAGTAAACCCCTCATCACCCCAACCTAATGAAAGAGTTTGGCAAAAGTAAGCATGCATGACAAACAAAACAACATAACGTTCGAAATAAAAACACAAACAAAATAAAACAGGGATAGAAGTAGTCGTCCAAACCCTAGTCGCACAATTCCTCCATGGCGGTGGTTCGAGAGGGGGCGGATCAACATCCTATTCATCTTATTTCCCCCGTACACTCCTGTTCGGAGTCTCTTCCTCGCCCGCGACCTCCTCATCCAGAATCAGACCGTCCTCATCACCCCGGGGAATCATGTTATCACATTGGGAAAACTGTCAATTGCGCCCTTCTACTATGCGCGATCCGTCAATGGAGTCCCCGTACTTTAGAAACCCTCAATTGAACCCGCCAACAATGAAAATCCCGTCAATTAGGTCTACATAACCGGATGCTTCCCGGTTAGCCCGTTGCTCGCTCATGTGGCGCTGACGTGGACATAGTACATTGAGGGTTCCATTGCTGACATGGATTAAAAATGTTCACATATACCTGATTCTTCACGCCAGTCACGGCACCGTAAGTATGCCAGTTAAAATCGGCGGGGAGATTTCCGGTTGGAAGGATTTCGGCCTTCTGTGCATCCGAGGGGAACTTAAGCTTGTTGGACCGTGATCCCGAGGTACGTCCTGTGGAACTCCTTGGGAGTGAGATCCGAGAATTTTGTGACGCCGTGGACGGCGGAGGGATCTATCAGCTGGTGGCGCTGAGCGCGGCGCAAGTTAGCACTGAAGATGGAGAATCTGTAGTCGTGCTCCTCCTGGCTAGCGTAGCTTTTGGCGAACTTGGTCTTGAAGAGCGAAAAGTGATGATCGGCGTTGAGCAGGTCCTTGGTGCCGGTAACAACCACGCCGATTTATTTGGGAATGGAGATGTGAAATTTTTTAATCCATGTCAGCAATGGAACCCTCAATGTACTATGTCCACGTCAGCGCCACATGAGCGAGCAACGGGCTAACCGGGAAGCATCCGGTTATGTAGACCTAATTGACGGGATTTTCATTGTTGGCAGGTTCAATTGAGGGTTTCCAAAGTACGGGACTCCATTGACGGATCGCGCATAGTAGGAGGACGCAATTGACAGTTTTCCCTATCACATTTGTTGACCATCTCCTCCATAGAATTTGTTGACTGCCTCGGCCTTTCTGCGAATTTGTTGTCCTGGTCTTCTAGCCCTCCACAGAAAGGATAATGTCATTCCGCCGTTGAAGCTTTCTGAGCTGGTGCAACCACACCGCCGCGCCAGGGGACGGTAAATATCAACACCTCCGGATCCAATGAACAGATTGTTCACCACCGAAAAAACAACTATGATTTACATAGACACGACTGCCGTAAATCAGGTTCCAAAACTCCTTCAAAACCTGGACTGCTCTGTTACGCCATCGTTCCCTAACAGTCCATCGACCTGCCTCGTTACGAGACTATAGCGAGTGAGGTGGACATAATTGGTCACCTAAAGCAGCTTCGCTTAGTTTTCACCCTCTTGCGACCGAGCGCCATCTAAGATGCGCCGTCGAGGGTGCGAAAGAGACGAGAGCTATTAGGGTTTATGTGATTCTCAAATTAGAGAGCGGTTAAACTGAAAAGTATTCTTACAAAAACTACATCAAGTTGATAATTCAAAAACTACATGAAGTTGCTAATTCAAAAACTACATCAAGTTTATAATTTGTAAATTTATTGTAGTAACTACTCTCTCCGAAATTCTTCGAATTGAAATTTTGTGTTGCTCACATTTAATTACATTTTTCAAACATAAATATAACCATACATTTAATTATACGAGTGTCAAGTGAGAAGTTATTTATGGGAGTAGTGTTTATACTATGAATAAAAAAGGTCGTAGATTGATAACATGATTGATATTATGGCGATTGAAGTAGAAATTTAACAGGTTCTATTATTGGATGAAGTGCTTTTGTGCTTGAGTGTATTATGTTCATTCTGTATTTCGTAATAATACGTAGAACATTAGTTATGCAGAATAAATTTTTACTCTGTGCTTTTGTGTTTTTTTTAGAAAATCTTTTTGAATTTTTACTGTTTAATACTCCGTATTGAGTTATGCAGAATAAATTTTTACTGCTCATGGCTTTATATTGTACTCCATATCAGATAAATCCCTCAATTAACAAGGTTGAATGTTTTTGGGAAAGCAATGCATAGAACCAGTGGCGGATGGCGTAGTGTTCAAGGGTATTCACTTGAACACCCACAAATTTCAATTTTTTTTTAATCAAAACGACGTCGTTTTGGCGGTTTTACAAAAAAATGAAACGTAGTCGTTTGCTGATATTCAGCCGTTCAAACCTGCGTTACTGCGTATTCACGATGGTTCCAACTTCCAAGATAGGTCTTCACCGAAATCCTTCCACAAACTGAAATTCTTCCACCCTTGCCCGCTCCGGCTCCGTCAGTCAGCTTCTCACACCCAAGCTCCAGCCTCTAGGTTCCAGATTGTCTTGCAGGTTGTTGATTGCTTGCTTTCTTTAAGTATTTTTTATTTTTGAGTTTTGACTTTGAAAATCGGAAGAAATATCATATGCGGAACAACGGAAGGTGTAGGGTTGAAGGTATTATATATTTATATGATGATGAACGATGATGTACTGATGTATGGGCGTATGGCTAATTGGCTAAAGATTATTGAAAATTGAAATGCTCCCAAGTCCCGATCTCTTTATGACTTTATATATTCTGCCTTTTCAGAGTAATAAATCAGTATAACTGATAATTGATATATGGAGTGGCAAAGAGTAAAAAAATCAGTAGAAATAGTAAGACACTACTTTATCCGTGGCTAATGTGCAGAAAGTCAATAACCCACTAGGTAGAAATAATAAGATATTGAAAAAAATCAGTCGGCTGGAGCATAACAACAATACACCATTGGATGCCTACTCATTTCATTATTAGCCTAAACTCTAAAGTCCTAAAACTCAAGTAGCAGAACTCCCTGTGAATAACCAAATGAATAAAAAGGATAAGGCTCTTATACTTTATTAATATATTATGGAGTATGTTTTAGTTTTTAATGTAGTAGTTTTTTTATTGATAAAGACACAATTGTTGAATCATAGCATTAGATATGATTATTGTGATACTTTTAACTTTACTTTAGTTTCGAACGCCCAAAATGTAAAGGCCAGATCCGTCACTGCATAGAACACTCAATTTATTGATAAAGATGGACTACAGGCATACAATTTTACATTACATTCATAAGAAATTTTAAAAACTCAGACATTCATTCATTAAAAACAATCAAAAGTCATTATATCTCCAAAATTCACAAAACGGATGCTCATATTCAAAGCAGTCTAACCCGATATCTCGATGGATTTAATCTCAGGTTTCTTCACCTCCTCCTTAGGAACCGTAACAGTGAGGACGCCATTCTCCATGGACGCCTTCACCTGTTCCATCTTAGCATTCTCCGGCACCCGGAACCTCCTCAGAAACTTGCCGCTACTCCGTTCCACACGGTGCCACTTGTCCTTCTTCTCCTCCTTCTCCCTGGTCCTCTCTCCGCTGATCTGCAGCACTCTCCCTTCCTCAACCTCCACTTTGACCTCTTCCTTCTTCAGTCCCGGAAGATCCGCCTTGAACACGTGAGCCTCCGGCGTCTCCTTCCAGTCGATGCGCGTGTTCACGAACGCCGACGTCTCGCTGGCCGAGCCACCGGCATTGGCGACGGCATTAGAGAACGGGAATCCTTCAAATGGATCCCAGACATCGAGAGAGAATGGATCGAAGACGTTGCTCCGGCGACCTCCAAAGATGCTTGGAATCAGAGACATTGTATTGATGTCAACCAAACAGCTAATCAGTTGGCCTCGTTGAGAGTATGTGATGGACACTTCGAACAGATTTCTTCCGATGCTTGATCGAAGGCATGGCTGGCGTTTATATACGCAAGAGACTGTGAGTCTGTGATGACGCCAGTACTTTCAGGGAGCTTCCAGAGAACTCTTGCGCAATCTTCCATTCTCTGTTCGCCATAGTTCTACACAGTTCCCGACTTTGAGAGACGATTTGGTCATATTCACAAGCTGTTGTGAACATAAAATGGGGCTGGACAGCCCGGACAAACAGAGGGCTTTTACTTTTAGTTGTGTTTCTTTTAGGCGTGGGCCGATCCATTTAATTTGGCCATATGATTAGTTCTGCATTTCAAAACAAGATCCAACTTCTTATTATGTTGCACGTACCTTTGTTTTTTATTCAAACAAATACGGAGTAATTTTTTTTGAACGAAAATGACTTATATTAAGATAACAGAACCTAAACATGGTATAAATCGACAAAAAATCATTTTGTCTGCTGCTTGCCTCGAACGAGATTTAGAATCCATCACCTCCGTAGAAGCAATTAAATTCGCTGATCCTGTAATAGGCTTAACTAAACCAATGACAGGCAAACCAAACTTTTCATCACTTGTCCTAAGTTCTAGAGTTCTTCTGGTAGGAAATAAAAATACACCCAAAAAAAATGTAATTCAAAAGAAAAACACCAACAAAATAAAACGGAATTAAAATAGAGTTTACTCATCTTCTTTCAAACTCTAGATTCTCTTGTACTCCATGGCGGCGACTCAGGAGGGGAACGAGCCTCCGAAAACGTCTGCTCCATGCGGTTCACAACGTCCTCGTCATCGAGCACCAGTTCGTCATCCTTAGTCCTGATCTCCAAACCGTCGCACTGTCCGATCAACTTTTCCAATCTATTTTGTGGCAGCTCTACCTCATCCCCCATCCAGCCCCGACCTGCCTACCCTCGCCTTGTCTGTGATCTCCTCCATATAGGCGCTACGGACTTGCACTAGATCTGCCACGTCAACCTCTTGTAGCGACCCAACGGCCATGGCCGTGCTCTCGATCTCTGCCAAAGAGACGTTGAGCGTCTATCGAAGAAGAAAATCCGCACAAAGACGGGAGAAGAAAACCCTAGTTTAGGGAAGGACCACTTCTCGCTCTACGTGATATCCATCTTATTCGATCAACCAATAGTTCTCGACCATCTATTGCAATTTGTCAACAAAGATTAAAAAATTTAGATTTTTATTATTATCTTCACGGGGATAGAATTAATTATCATTTACATTGAAGGATTGGATCATAATCGGGAACTCAAACTAATAGTTTTATTCACGTAGAATTTGTTCAAAACTTTCTTGGAATCATTTGATAGAAGAATTCTTTCATGAGATATTTTGTAATATTATATTATCAGGAGTTCGAATCATGTTTAAATCATCAAAACGCAGACATATTTGACCATTTTTATATCATTCTTAATCATAGATATTCATTTAGACTTTTATATCACATTCATCAATATTGTTTTGGTCCATATAGTGGCTTTTGTGATTTAGTGAAAAACACAAATCAAAGTTTCATATAAATGTATGTATCAAGTAATCTATATAAATATGTGGTCGATCACTACATCCATTAGGCACACTTGCAGTCTTTCAAAAATAGACATATATGTCAACGCGGTTGCATCAACTAATGGAGAATGTGTCTCTTCATAGTAAACTTTCGGCATTTGAGAAAAATATTGAGCGATGAGTTAGGATTTATTTATATTTTAAAATTCCAGTTGTCTCGTTGTGTTTGCTCCACCAAATCCTATTTATATCTCACTGGTTTTATGATTTTTGGCGTAAGAAGCATCGACACAAAAACTTTGCATTTTTCAAATGATTTCAGTTATGTGTGAATTAGTTTATTTTTTGGCCAACTAACTTTTTCGACACTCATAAATCGAGTTTAGCTCATTGTCACCATTTTCATTCATGATATTTGTGACAATGACATTGAAAAATATCTCAATAACACCAACACCATATATCTTTTCAATTACATTTAACTATGAGTAGAAACATAAATTTCATAAATATCTATATTTTCATCATTATATGGAATGTCTTCCTCTTTGGAGAAAGTTGAATCTTCTTTTGAAATATCTTTTATTTATTTCATTTTCACAAAAATATTTTCAACTTGTTCAATTTCCTTTTCAGAGATATAAACATTTTTTATATCACAAATTAAGTACTTTTTTCTCTTTTGGACCAATTGTTCTATCACATTTTTTCTGTATAAAAGAAAAGTTTGCAAGAAATGTTTCACAAGTTTATAGGAATTTTAATTTTGGTGAGGTATTCATAGTAGAATTATGTAATTTGTCAGTTTTGTTTGTGAACGCATCAAATTTACAACATTTTAAAAATGAATTATCTTTTGAACTCTTATTCACATATATTTTGTTAATCAAGATGGCATAATTATGTTGCATTATATGTAACCTCTTTAATAATTGGGTTTAACTTACAATTTTCTTCCCCTAAGATCGCAAATGTTATTTATTGAAATGAAATGACGGTCTCCAAATTGTACAAATGAACACCCATTTTTGTACATTGAGGTTAAGCAATGAGAACGTATACATCACAATTGCATAACATAACAATGTAACATAGTGCAATGAGAGAACAAGAACTTGTCAATCATGACCGGCAAATGAATTTAGCAAAATTTTATACAGTAGTCCGTAACTATGTGTACAAAATTGATCCGTTGAATCTGAAGTTTGTTGCTCAGAATCAGATCAGACTTTTGAGTTACAAGAAAAATAAACGAACAATTGTGATACTTATGTGAGAGTCAACTAGGTCGTGTTAAAACATAGGAAAAACCTAATATCGACAAAAATGAATAAATACATCTTCAAATGACCACTACAACAACACCCATTCTTCACGCATTTTCCCTATCACATGGACATATTTCTATGAAGCTTCCACATAAACCATTTGTACACTTCATTCTTCGGGATCTCTTGACCGCGTTTTGTTTTATGTCCCTCTATGTGCAAAGCCGCGGAGCCTAAACTGGAACCACTGCTCCTCACCGGATCGCAGTTGAATTATTATCATTCCCTATAAAGTCATCACCACAACTCGGGTTCGGACAAAGACACTCGTAAGGATTAGAGTAAAAGTAATCTTCTTCTTTGGGCTTGTCTGCAACAACTTTACGATGGGCTGGCTGTCCGAATCTCCCCTCATGAGCCTGCCTAATTGCAGCTGAAAATCCGTCCCAAGAGAGTGTTCCATTCTGATGTAAATCCAACAATGGTACAAGACTTCTCCGGTCTAGTTGGATGGTCTTGTTGAACCCTAGATACCTGCACGTGAAGTATAATATCAACAGTTGAATTTCTGCAGTCAGTGAATTTTCAATGTTAAATTTAGAACCGGTTTGGTAGGGCTATTTGGTAGAGAAGGCTGAATCTTCAAAAACCAAAAGTGTAGGATCACAACTATTCCAGCAATATAATTGAGTCAAAGGCTACTTATTCTGCCTGCTTATTCCAAATGGGCTTTTAGGATTATTACCTCCGGTGACCTTCTACAAGCTTTGCCATGTTGCCATCATAAGTGGGAATGAATACATTACTGGCCACTGAGACTATGAAATCCAGAGCAGCCATTTGCGATGAATGGTTCTGGAAGTGTTGCAACTCTACGGGACCAAGTAGGGTTTCCTTCTTTACCTGTAAGTGCAATTAAGGAGAGATGTAAGGACTAACCGTACCTATAACAGCAGTGTAAGTAAATGAGTTACTATTTACTAAATCTACAAATGAGGAGAAATCTGCAAGAACGGTCAGTAAAGTGTGATCCATGA